TTTCTGTCAGACTACTGTGTAATCACATTTTCCTCTGGGTTTGGAGAACTGATGCAGAAAACACAACTGTCTTTTCCAATGAGTCTAGATTTATGCTTTGAAGACATATACAAGTATGACAAGAAACTCCTTCTGGATCATTTATCATACTATGCTCTCAGTCCAAACTGTCTAAAAGACTGGCTGTTCTTTGTGAAGTGGATTTACTGTCATTTTTAATGACTTCCCTGATTGACTTCAACCTTTACAGAGCAGAAAAAGACACAAGAGTGTACAGACAAGTGTTAAACACTTTCCTAACTGTACATAGCAGACTACCAGCTGGAGGGGGCAGAGGGTGAGGTTTCCATATGCTTTATCCATAAAACTTCATTGTTTAAGTTGTGATAAGGGAAAAGATGGCCAAACAATCAAAACCACATGCCCCACTTTATTTCAATTACATAGATAAAAGTAGAAGAAACTAGATAAACTGCGTCTGATCTTTAGTCTCTGCTATTTTATAATTAAAAAATAGGAGCTAAGCAGTCACATGATAGTTTATTTTTATCTTGGCACACGGAAAAGTTTAGTGAATCATGAAAAATAATCAGGGGGTGGAGAGAAATGCATCCATATCTTTCCATAAGAGAATCACATGTTAATAAACCCAGGCACTGTGATTCAGAACTTGGTATTCCTTAAGCAAACACAGAGCTGATAAAGACTTAATTTAGTTACTAATTAGGTGTCAGTTAGGACTAAGGTACATTTCACCTAATCAGAATTAAGAAAACTGATCCAGTACCATGTAAGTTACACTGAAGTGCTACATGGCACATTTCATTGGGATTTGAAGGAAGGGATTTATTCTATAACTTCTGTCCTGGCACTCATTTTTCATGGCTGGCTGCTACTGGAAGAGAAACACGTACACATGGGTTATGTAAGTGAAGCACACAATATGCTTTCATGCCTTTTTTTTCTCCCCTCTCTCTTTAAATGCCCATGAGGTATAGCAAACCAGCTGGCAATGGAAAAACAACTTCCATTTCCCAAAATAATACTCATCTGGTGTGTCACAGCACACTTAATATTCTCGACAGTGTTTCAGTGAATTGATCATTTTCATATGATCAATTCATCACACATACTTGATTCATTTCATGGCTTGCAAGTTTTCAGTTTCTCTACATGAAATTTACTTGTTACCTACACATAACCCCCAATACTTTTAAGCAGCAAAGCTTTTGATTTACTTCCAATGTGAAAATTCCCATCAGGTCACAAAACCTGTTTGAGCCATTTTCCCAGTGAATCTTATAGCATGTATCAGCATCTTAACACTGCATTTGTATTCAGTATGGAGATTTTTTGCTTTAGAGAAGCAGCACTTTTAAAGTTGTTTGAAAAGGCAGTAAATGTAGAAACACAAGTATCAAAGGAAACAGTAACCTGAAAAGTTATGCCAGCACACACTAAACAGAAGACACTAATTGTTCAAACCCCCAGTTTAGAAAGTTGCTTCCATTCCCTTCCCATCCCAGGGCAGGAGATGTTTGTCATGCTTAAGCTGAGAGTGCCTGAAGGAAGGGCTTAAAACAACAACAGACAAAAGAAGTAACAAGGTTTACAGACCAAGACAGAGTGAGGGAATGTGAAAGTGTCACTGAAGTGTCACAAGTCACTCGAAGGATGAGCACATCCTTGTGTTTGGCGGCAGGAATTAGCTTCCATTATTTCTCAACAGCAACTCTGCTTTATGACTGTGGTAGCACCCAGTTTCCTATCACCTTGTTTACTGAAGATGTTAAACATTTTCAACCCATTCTCACTCCAGCTGTTTCCTGAGCAGTTCTTCGGAAGCAGATTTTTTTAATGAAAAAGGGATTTGAAAACAAAAGCAATTTGAAGTTCAATGCAAATACTTTTCCTGTATCATTTCCCTTATTTTGGAACACAATATTACCTCTATCACAAAACCCAAAAGCCATAGTGCTGCTTACAGGTCCAGCTGATTCTCAAATTATCTCTAAATTCAACATGTTACTACAGCAATAGCTGCAAACTGCTCAGAGAACAAGACATTTCTTAAATACTGACTCTAGGACACTACTCTTTTGATAGGAAACTTTCCCTATAAAGATACATTGCAAGAAGTTCCCAGAATGATTGTGACATTTTTAGGTTATTTCACAGTATATGTTGCTCCAGTTTAAAATAGAAAACAATTTCTTACACTAAAAAAAAATAACTTGTTTCCTGCATATCTGCTGAGTAAATAGACCACAAAACTTAAAAGAAACTAAAAAAGCGTAGACATCAGCTCTCCTAAAAAAAGAAATCAAACTATATTGGTGACCAAGCCCTTCCATGACATTTGTATTAGCCTCTCTGACAACGGCCTAATTAAATAGGACAATGATTATAAAGGAAAGTGAGATGGGTTATTTAATTAGTGCAATTATTCTGCATGCATATGCACATATATGCAAACACAGGTAGTGGGTGGGTAGGTGTGTGCACATATGCACTTACCTATACATTTCAGAAAAGGAACTGCTCTTTATCCACACACTGAAGGAAAGGCATCATTCTGAAGCATTAGATTAAAACTGCAGTATATTAAATGCATATATACCTCATGGAATAGTCAACACAAGAAGCTTCAGAAGTTTCAGTCGTTATAAAACATGGAAGGATTTGGCATTGGAAGACTTGGGAACATATGGCTAAGAGGCAATGAACTGGAAAGGAGCATGACAAGACATGAGAAAAAAGTTGCCATCCGGGTCAGGTTGACCAGATGACAAACAAGGGATATAAAGAATAAGATCCAGGGTCTAAGGCAGTTCTGAAATCCTGATGAGCTGGAAGCTAACTTGGTGGGAAGGCTGGGAAAAGCAAGTAGGAGGAGACAAAAAATGGACAGCATGATTTGAGTAAGAACCCAGGAAAATGATTGGATGAGCTATAAGAGGAATCTCCAATAAAGCACAGTCTAGGCACTATCATCACAGAAATGCAACAGCGACTTCGCTGATGACAACGGGAGACAACATACACAGCTTGAAACACAGACTTTAGAGAACAACATACAATACAATCTGACTGCCCTGATTGTATTTTAGAGACAGTGTTAAATTGCCCAGTAAGCAACAACGTAAGTAACCTTATTGTGATTGCCATTTCTACTAGAAACCAAGAACATTCATATCACACACAGTTATGGCTTGTCAAGTTTCATGAAGCTTAGAAGTTTCAATAACAATTGATGCTATTAGAAATAGTTTACCTGCAAAGCAGCCTTAGCAGCATTTGAAGAAAAAACAAAGACTGTAAACACCATTAGCAGCAGCAATGACCATAATTCAGAGTAACAAGTTGTTATTTCTACAGCCAATTAGAAGATAATTGCTCATAACATACATCCTTCACCAGGCACTACTGTTCTCTCAAGTACTGCCCATTCCTGAAACTAGGCCTATTTAGCATAAACCAATTAAAATTTGAATTCCATCATTAATTCTCAAGTTCTATCTCTTTCCCATTTCCCTCTCTTCTCCTTCCTTGCTTGTCATTACCTCCTGTCTACCTCCAAGCACATCAGCACCACCCTAAACCCCATCACTGCATCTGCTCAGTTTCGCAGCAACCCTACTACTTCCCACCAACTCCTGCAGGAATGAGAGGATGAACCAATAAAAGCATTTTCAGCAACCAAAAACATTACCTTTCCCCATTCATATTAGTACTGGCTCTTACTAAGACTACCTAAATTAGCATCTCAGCATGTTTTCAATGCTGAATTTATTTACTCGTAAGATTTCATTTACATTGTGCCTTATTTTTTAAAGTTATGCCACCTGAACAGATACAGAAGGTATTTTGAATGACAGTAAGTGTAGCATTACCTTTAAACTGGTATCTAATCCCTTTCAAAAGTACCTGCAGTATTAGCTCACTACCAGAGAGTTCAGTGGAAATATTTTTAACTTCTAGCATTATACCTGCAAAACCAATACTGATCTAGAGCTTCTGAAACATCTAAACAACAGAAGTCATTCCCTCTCCACCCCAAATGAATTAGCTATGTTTTTCTCAACAAGGAAAAAGCAGAAATATTGCACATACAAATCTTTCCAAAACAGCAATTCAGTGTTAGCACTTCCACATTTGTGAACAGTTGAACCCATACACTAGAGACAGCCTTTACAGGAGTTTACTTCTGCTCTTTATATGCAACAGCAACTGCAACACTGCCTCAAAGTGCTGCACTTTTATTTGGCACAGTCCAAAGGGATAGGTATGACTGTAGGACTGTGCAGCACATATACCTCTTATAGAAACACACAGGAGGGAAACACAGCAACTTTTACAACTATACTGAATCCAAGAGTTCTAATGCAATGTTAGGATCCCAGCATCCAAATAAATTCTACTGTTCTACTTCTGGTTCAGTAAAAACTAAACATATTTTGTTCTGTAACATGAGATGAATATCTGCAATCCAAGCCTATGCTTAGTGATGCATAAGTTTCTCTGCACTAAAGATACCAACCCTCCTAGTTCTGATGCAGAGATGCACTGCTGGGGAGAGATGGTAGAGACAAAAATGTGTGTGCAGCCTGCCTTTTGCATTCCCTCGAGTACCTTTTGTTGAATAGTGGAGTGCTTTTGCTCCATATCTCTCTTCTCCTTTGCAGCATCTACAGCCAACTGATCCAGCTGTAAAGAGAAACAGAAAATTGGATCTTTAGATATCATGAGAAATTTGGCTCAGTAGATTTCACGATGCTGACAAAAACAAACAAACAAACAGAACACATTATGTCTAGACACTGCATGACTTTTCCTTTATTTGCATAGTATAATTACTTCTCTGGTTCACAAAGTGTTTACCTTGAATAACCACTGACGTCTCTCTTAAAGCACTGCACTACCATCCTGAATTAACCTCTAGGCAAGGTGTAGATTTCTTGTAAGCATTAGAAGAACTGTTTCAAAGACCAGGATGGTGCCAAGCATATGCGACTCTACCGCATTGGTGCTCAGGCTCCCGAGAGGATGACTCATGCTTTAGCTGCTCTCTCTGCCTGCCTGGCCTATGCAGCAGCACTGGCAGGAGCAGCAAAAACCATAAAGAGCAAATGCTAGGGATTTTTCCCCCCCACAAAGCAGGGGAACTGCCTCAACCAGGCTCTTGTATTGACAGTTTTGATCAGGTCACCAGCAATATTTGAGCAAGATTCCTTGAAATGTTAGGTAGAGACATTCAAGCTGTTTCCAGTTTCATAAATAACAAAAATATGATTTTGAAAAGGAGACTGTCACAGAGAGTATTTAAGTTAGCATCCTGACAAAGTCTGAGATAATACAAAAGACACTGGCCCATAACTTGCTGCAAGCATGACTCTAGCACTAACATACAAGCTTTTACTCTTAACACCAGAAGAAAAAAAAGACAGGAAATTTAACAGATCCCGTAACAGAGAGTAAGTTTGGTTGGGGTTTTCTGTGGGGTTTCTTTTGTTGTTGCTTTTGTTTTGTGGTTTTGGTTTTTTTGGTTCTGGTTTTTTCCAGACTTTCAATTTTTAAAGAAGAAATATGGTGGAGCAGATGCTGCCTGAAAGACCAGTTTGCTTAGTCTTTATGTGACAGGCTATGGAATCCAATGAACTGCCCTTTATCCAGCCTGTACTACAAGCCATTAACCCCTCTCACTGAGCCACGATGCAGATGTAACACTGAACACAGCACCCAACGTGCAGCCTTACATCTGTGGCACAGACCTCATGCTACTCCAGGCCTGGAACAAGAAGACAGGGAACAGTGTGCTTCCAGCTGAAGTCAGTCACGTGGCAGAGGGCACACTAGGACTAACAGAGCCTCTAATTCACACTCAAATAGGATTGCCTCCACCCACTCCCATAACCACAAGTGACAAGCTCTGCCAACTCCTGCCATTTCCTCAGTGTCTTATTTCCCTTGCTTGACATGATAAAAATGAAGAAAAAAAAGACAATAACAGGCTCTTACACACTTGTGCTAGACAGTCTCCAGCAATTACAGAGCCATCAGATAGCTGGGACATCTGGATGCAATTCCATAATCTGCTACATTGCTTAACTCCTCTCTCTCTGTCTTCCTCTCTGGCTCAAAATGCCATACCAGCACTTACACACCATCCAGGTATTTTTGAACATGAACACATTGAAGTTTGAAGTTTCCAGATGCCACATTTATGTAGCTATAGGACTTGAAAATGACAGAAGAGCCTCTAAAACACAGACTGAGCAGCCATTGTGCTCAAAGACCTTTTCTGAACCAAGAACCCATGGGAAACCCTTTCTTTTGTGATAAAGATGAGAACTGGCCCCAAGGCTGTTCAAAACATCGTAGCAATCAAGATTCTTGCTGAAACTACCTATTCAGGAATCTGCACGTGGTCCCCAAGAAATTCTTCCTTCTACCCCACTGGATGCAACAGAAGACAGCCACTTTCAGAGTAGGTCAATTACCTCTAACTCATCTCAAGTGTTTCAGGATACATTACCACAGTGTAAGGGCCAAACTAAAGTTCTCAACAGTAGCTCAGCTCATCAATTACACTGCTGCTATGCAGATAGCATTGCATCACTCCTGTTTGCAAGCTCAAACAGGAATGTCTTCTTTTCAGTCAGGTGAGCAGCACATCAACTGTCTCCAGAGACACCAACAGCATGCAACGATCAAAAGCTGGGGCAAATCACACAACTACACTATGAAAATCCCAGTCACCTTATCTCTGCTGGGTAATTTCTAAAAAACTAGGTTTTCAAACTCCTGCCCTAAGGTATTTTTGTAAATATGGTGCTCTGAGGGGTATACTGTAGGGAATTAAGTCAGACTAAAATGTTCAGCTTTTTCAATAGTCATCTCAATGAAAATTCAAGTAGCTTTTCTTTCTAAACTAATACCACATTTCACATGAAAAGTGCCAAACACCATAATTTCCATGCAAAAGCTCATATTACCCTTGCATGCCATTAAAGATTCTCCTACAATGATCTGATTCACAAGGGATTCTATCCTGAACTACAATATCCAGACAGCAAAATTGCTCAACCCCATTCTGTCATGTAAAAGTTATTTTGAAAAAGAAGCAAGAATAATTTAAAATTATAACTATACTATTTAAGATCACTTCAATTTTATTACTTCACGTGCTGTTAAACCTTGTAATTAAGATCATACACAAATTTACCTGGGAATGAAAACTCACTCAGCAACAGAAGAAATCTGACAGTATTTTCAGAAAAATCCAGCAAATCCCTGTTATGTCACAACATACATTGTCAAAGGCAAAAGCTTCAGCCAATACAAACTGCAAAGCCATTAACTCAGACTTTTAACACTTATTTACGAGTCTGCTTCTGCCATGAAAAATGTTAACTACTTAAATGCCAAGGTCTGTCACAACTTGTACAACTTCAGGGTCTTCAGTCTATCCTTGCTCCAACTGCAACGTTTTAAACATTCTCTGCTTTGTATTTTCTAAATTTAACTCCTTCGGTTGCTATGATACCAGCACCAAAACGAATGTCACACAGTGCTCCTTACCAGATCAAGCAAAAGTCTGATGAGCCATTAAAAAATAACCTTGTGTTTTCTTGCTCAAATCATCTCAACGAACTGGAAACATTGCAGCCTGGCTGGCAGCATAAACCACTACCAACTCCAGAGTTTCTGTCTCCTTTCCCT